ACAAAACCAGTCAATTTGGCTGTAGAGAAATCAGAACTGGCCGTACAAATTCATGATCAGTGCACCCCTATTTAAGAATGCATTATCTTCAGAGATCTGAGGCTTTCTTACAATATAGGCAACATTTGTTTTGGGGGAAGGTAACCAGTGTTTTCCACTACTCATTAGCAAACAAGTCACTTGCCAACACTTTGCCAATATCTCATCCATTTTGCAAGAACAAAAGCAATCTCGCTTCACTGAGTCACAAATCTTTGGCAATCTAAAGTGGTTGTTGAGGGATAGGGCAGGATTTTAGTACTATCAGTCAATAGTTTTTGTATGCTGTTGTCTGAATGTGCTAATCAGAGACGGATTCCACTCCACTCAGTTTCAACGTGAGCTGTTAGCAAATCCACATGCTTTACTGTGCTACTTTTTCAAATAGATTTAAACCATAGTAATTTTACTTTTATTTGCATTTAAAGTATTCAGCTATATTACACTTCAGCACCGAGCATTGGGACCCGTCTTTTTTCGTGAGACAAACATTAACTAAAAGTGACTGAATCTAGACACCCCTAGACGAAACATTGGGCTGTGAAGCAGAGGAACTGGAGTGATGGAGCTCCATGCGGGATGAGTTGGAGTGGCGTTTGTGATCCAGAATGGATCATACGACATCTGTACTAACCTCACTAATGCTCTTGTAAGTGCTGAATGCAATCAGATCCTCACAGCAATATTACAACATTTAATGTAAAGCCTTCCCAGAAGAGTAGAGGCCGTTGCTGCGGCAAAGAGGAACAAACTCCCCACTCATAGCCTTGATTTTTGGAGTAACACTGGATGAGCAGGTGTTTTACCTTTAGTCTAAATCTTGCCTGAAATGGATAATATGATGAATAAATTAGTGTTATCCAGTGGTGAACCGTAATTATTAGTGCCAGGCCTTCGGATCAGGCCATAAATTTCATAACTAGGTTGAAAATGAGGAAACAAAACCCCAAAGTAATGCTGATTTCTGCTAGCGCTCCTATGAGATTCTAGGAATATGTTAGTGCTAAGCAAATAGTGATTGCCGTTAGCCATTTAGTCATCGTATTAAACACAGATATTCAAAGCTTAAGTTTATTAAAGACTTTCTCTTTTTTATTGGAAGCTTGTAACAAACAGACATTTTACCTTGTAGCTATTTTACAGTGACTCTTTCAGTAAAGAGCTCCGCCACTGTTTTCCATTTCTGACATATAACTGAAAATAACTGTTCAGGCTTCCATTCATACTTGCACATATCTACGGCTTCCAGAACACCCAGATTATTGGTGGGTGATAAGGCAAATATGTTATATCACGATACTTGAAGAAATGTTCTTTATACACGTCACAATATTTTACAAATGCAGTGGACCAAAAACAGCCATCCAAAACTTACAACGGACACAATGATTTTTACTAAGCATTTTACATGCTGTACTGCACTAAATCCATTTAAACAACACTAATTATGCTCTCTTTTTAACCTGCAGTTGTTCAGTGTTCTTTAAATACTGACGATATCCATGATACACTTGGAAAAAGCATATTGTTTGTCACTATAACAGAATTTATCGCAATAATGATGGAATACCGTAACATTGCCCATCTCTAGGCAAGAGTGACATTTTTTCTCACAAAATTAGAGAAATCAAAACGTGATTGGTTGATTCTGCTGTCTATTCCTAATTATGTTAGTGGTTAATCTGATGTGTAAGGCCTTAAATAAAGGGCAGTTCCATGAATCTTTTCAAATTTCTGCATAATTTAATCATTTCAATGTAAACAATGTCATTCATAGTAGTTTGATGTAAAATGCTGAGTTTAAGGCCTCTAAAAGCTGCCTCAGGAAACATTATCATATATAATGGCTGTGAACGTGTTGCCTGCTGCCTGAGATATTGTTGTGAAATGTTTTTAGATAATGTTTGCGCTAAAATATATATATTTTTAAATCCACTCATGGTGGAGAGTTATATGCAAGACAAAATAATACCTAAACAAAACTAATTTTTTTCAGACTTACCACTATTTTACCATTATCAATATTAATTTTTAGTGTGTGGGTGGTTCTGGATAGTAAATAAAATGGCTATTTTTGTGTTGCATACATTGTGACCACTGGTTCCTGTCACCGCCACTGTAAAGAGAGTCAGCAGGTTTCTCTACGATGAACCATTTCATAGCAAACTACTCTGAATGACTTTGTTTACATCTGAACGATTGAATTATGCAGAAAGTTTGACATATTGTTTGTACTAAACACTGGGAGAGCTACCTTCGCTGTATGTGCTTAGGTATCACAGCAAAACAGTCTGGCTTGGATCAAGATTTTAACCATTTTGTTTTCGACAACAGTGACATAAGAGCATAACTACAATAATTGTTTTGAATTGAGTTTAAATACAACAAGCACGATGATTGTATATAAGAAAAATAAGCAAAAAATGTGTTTATTTCACAGAATGACTTAGTTAGAAGACCCTAAGGTTCCACGCTGTTGATGTCAGGACTGGCTTTAGTGTTAATTATTATCAGACTGAAAAGAAGATCGATGGTATCGCCCATCCCTAGTGAAAATGAAGCTGTCTGGGATAGAGACTACCTGTGTTGACACGTTACAGCTTTGTCTCAGTCTGAATTACACAGTCATCTTCATTCAACAGTGACAGCGAGCATCTCACTCTCTCTCTCATACATACACATACACCCACACACACGCGGTGTAGAGGCTCAGTGTTTACCTCCAGAGTGAAATTGAGCGTCAGGATTTATCATACTGCCCAGGAGGACACTGTGAAGGAGGGAGGGAGGGTGTGAGTGAATGAGTGTGTGTGAGTCTAAAAGCTGCCCTAAAAGCTGCCAGCAGGCACACACACACACAAACTCACACACACACACACGGAAATGAAACAACAAGGACACGGAATGGCAAATAATAAAAAAAAACCTCTTCTTTTGCGCAGCTCTGAAAAGAAACAGAATTAAGAATTAAAATTAAAAAAATGAATGAAGTCTGAAAACAAAAGAAAAATATGGGTCTGGGATGTGAGATTTTGACATGACATTAATTACATTAGCTAACCGTTATGTGAACACGTTTTTAGTGTATCAAAATGAAACTCATTTTAGGCATTTGTGCCTCCCGAAGTCTAAAAATGTCAGGTAACGCGACTGTACACCCATGTATACAGGTTATATAAACTCTTACAAGAGTTATTTACTTCTATAAAATTCTAAATAAAACAGCTTAACGTGATTTTATGTTTGAAAGCTTAAAAAGCATTACGTCGTCCAAAATGGGACAGCTTTTGTCCATAAATTCTGATTTTCTCAAACGTCGCATGGCACAGGCGACAGCAGAGGACTTTTATTCTATCATGCCTTTAAGAATGAATGGACAGGGTATTTCATCATGAAAAAGACCCCAAATGACCTTCATGGTGCAATGCCAAGGTCAGTAGCTCTTTCACAAATATTGAAAAAAATGTAATTGTAGAGTTTTAGTTAGGCTGGTTCAGTTTACCATGACCATCTGTTATTATTATTATTATTATTATTATTATTTATTTGAAATAGAAAATTGTAACGTTGAGTTCAAAGACAGGTTTATGCAGGTGTCTAAGTCCAAAGACAAGTTTATACATGTTTTCAGTAGCAGCAAATAACTTCAAAATATTATATTCTTTATTAATATGTGGTTGTGCCACTGGACATTTTCTGGGTGGTAAAATTCATGATCCTGTTTAAAACTCAACTTATACTATTATAAAAGCTACGCTTTCACATATGTTTATCACCTATAATTACCCCTACACGAACAGAATATTTTACCTGTTGTAAGATGTTTCACTACCCAATCCTAACATTATTTCCCATCTGTTTTTATGCAGAGACCACTGCAGTTATTCTTATCATGGCCTTGTTACCATGCACAGAAATTTGGAAAGTAGGTAGAAAATGACAGTACTGAAAATGGCTCATTTTTCTTTTACTCAGAAAGTGAGAAAGTGTTTTTGGAGTTAAAGGAAAATGATTTTCGAAGCAGGGAACATCCATTTTCTTTGACTACAGTGTGACTAGGGCTGGTATCATTTACATGTTTTCGCCAACGTTACCACTACTGATAACTTGACTTTGACACTGATTCCTGAATCATACTTTTTTTCAATGGCTTCAGTTGAATACAATCTGAAAGTGGGTGTAGCATAAGCCAGATATGAATATGAGGTGGTGGCAACGTTCAGGTATATTTACTGATTTCACTGAATTTCAGAGTAATCAAGAAGTGCTGATGTTAATAACATGTATTCAGAGTCTAATTTAGACAGCCAATCAGCACTCTAGATTTTGGAACAAGCATGCTTATTGGCTTACTTATGCTGATAAGGCTAACTTAGATATTGAAATTTAGTGTAGAACTGAAAGTGGTTTTTAGAGGTGAAGGACCTCATGGACCTGATATGTCACTCATTCACACACTAAACTCATGTTTAACAGGCTTACTTAGCTTTTGGTGCTTTGCATCAATGACACTCTTTGTCCATGTTATTTACAACGTGGCACTTTCCCAGAGCTTCCATTAAAAAAAAAATCACTTCAAATTGCTCAAAAAAATACAGTGTGAAAAAGCAAAAAAAACAAAACAAAAAAAACAAAAAAAAAGGAAAGGAAATACTGTGCTTTTGGTTATTTTAGCCTTTAGAATTTATTTTATATAAATGTTGTATATCTAAAATACTTTAGTAGAAGTCTAATGGCCAAGCAATGGGTGAAAGAACTTTAAAAATAGTCTTTTTCAGTGTTGCTGCCTTTTGGTAAACTTTCTTTTTTGATGATGATTTCAAGTGAAGCGCTCGTTGATAATTAATTTAAAAACCCAGCTTTCAAAGTGTCAACGTATGTTCACTGTATCATGCAGAAAACTTGCTCTGACTAGTGTTAAGCAGTTTTACATGAATTTTGTGTTTCTGCTGTGTCCGCAGATGCGAGTGTGTGTGTGGAGGAAACATGCAGGATGTTCCGTGGCCTGCGTTGATTGGACCCCCCGGTGCCAGGCCACCCCATGCCCGACAGTAACCCAGAGGACGACCTCTCACCTCCTCAAGCACAGCCTCTCCTGGCCAGCGGCCATTTGTCTTGATGAGGGCCCCTGCCGTCGGTGATGTGATGAACAAGTTTGAGGTGCTTGGCATCGTTGGGGAAGGTGAGTGTCCTCATACTTAACCCTTCAATGCTGAGGCAGAACGCAGCTCTTTCTGCTTTTTTATCTAAGGTTGTCCTTTAATATTATGATTAGCGTGCATCCAGCTATAAGGGTAGCAGGTTGCCTCTTGTGTATGTTGATAGAACACACCAAGCTCCAATTCCACATACCTGTCCAATTTGATATGACCAATGTGGATCATGCATGCAGCTCAGCTGCATCTTTAGAAGTAATTCTCAAGAACAGTTTGAAACTGGGACCTCAAGACCTTGATCCATTGCTAATAACTGTCCTTGAATGTCATCTATTTAAAGTGAAATCTTGTGTACATAATAAAGCACGTCTTTTTTGAAGGTATAAAAGCTAATATAACATTTATGAAAATGATGTACATGTATTTATTAATGTTTTAAACACAGTGGATTGTGTTCTTTAACCCTCAAAAGTCTAGAGATAGATTGCTATTTTGCTTTACATTTGAGTTACAATCCTGTGCAAAAAATCAGAGACCACCCTTCATTTGTTTAATATCCAGTCAAAGCAGCCACTGAGTGCAATTTATCATTTTTCAGGAGATATTTGTGAGAATATTAGATATAAGATAATCCACTTGCATAAGAAATGCGAAGTCAAAGAAAAGTAAGAAGTTTCCAAAACCGGCGTTTAAAAATTATTATAACATGGATAAAATGGGACTCTTAACAACAGCACAAGACCTGGTAAACCACCAAAACCGTCACTATCAGATAAACAGCACTTAAAGCTTTCACCTTAAACATAGTTTCATAATTGCATATATAGTTATGTAATTAATTATGTTTGCAATTGATTTACATTCGGTAATGACTGTTTGCAGTGAGTATCCTATGACTTTTTCTGTTTATTTTGATGCACAACTGTTGCAAATACATGGCAAACATGTAGATTTGTTTTTTTCCACAAAATAAAACATCATGCATCGACATCATCAAATTCAAATAATTGTAAAATATGTCTTCTTTCACATACAAACACAAATGTGATATTGATCGTCATAACAACGTCTAATAAGGGTTAAACTGACTAACTACAGGCAGCACTTCTGTCCTTTCTGTCTGTATTTTGCTCCCTGCATCTGCTTAATCCCAGAAAAGAATACCATAAACAGAAGCAGCCTTCGCATAATTACGCTATTCTTCAACTTTTGCATTGCCGTGCGCTCCAGCAACGATCCACACCGCACCTCATTCTCGTTCATCTACGCCAGAACCATTTTCTTTACATTTTGCATGAGGATATGGGCGAAAGTGTCTGGGGACCAAGCTATTTTTACCCTTCTCTATTCATCTAGTCGACCCTGATACTCTGGAAACGTGGAGAGAGGAGGCAAGAGAGGCTTCAGCAGGTGTTGCACCTCTGCATGAAGGTGTGGGACATGGTTGGGCAGATGGTTTTTGTATAGTTCGTCACTTCTGCCAGAATGTGTGACGTGTATATGTCGTAGTGTGACGAATCAGAAGGTGGGGGTGGTAGATTTTGCGGCAGTACATGTAGTTTACCTCAATAAATCAATCAGTGGGGATTGACAAAACATCAGAGAGGGCCTGCTAATTAGCCCTGCACGCTGGAGTAAATTAAAAGCAGATTGAGTTGATTTTTTGACAGGGTGCTGAGCTGATGTAGGCTACATGCTTTGAGTATTTCTTTGTCACTGAGCTGCATTACATAGGATGATTTTTAATTATGACCAGGGGCGGTTTCAGCAGTCAAGGTGCAGGAAGATGATAAAATAAGCGCTCTTGGTGGAACGCTGGATCTACTGTGTGTGTGTCTGTGTGTGTGTGTGTGTGTGTGTGTGTGTCTGTGTGTGTGTGTGTGTGTGTGTGTGTGTTTTAGCTCATGTTTTTGGCAGTGATTATGGCTTACTGTGTGTTCAGCTGTCAGAGGAGCGGATTTCATTCTGTTTTTGGCCACGAGCATAACCATCTCTTTACCCCTGCACGTCTCCGCATAGCATTATTAACTCCGCTCATTAGCATACCGCTCCACACGTTTGCTGATGTTTGCATATCGCTTGATGAAGGCTAATTGTTTACTGTATGTGCTGACCATAGTTTGTGTTGGATTTAGTCAGTGTTAGCTGAACTGAGCTGATGCCAAAGAATCTTTCTCGTGCACCACTCCCTCGCCTGTGTAAGCCTTTCATACCTGCGAAAATATAGAAGCACTGATGGAATCTTTCCTCACCTTCTTAACACTGATTGTTTTGCCCACATATGTAACCAAACAGGTCTGGCAATGATGTTTATGTTCTCGTTATTCTTTGTCTGGGCTGACAAGAAGCTCTAAGAGGAAGTTAACCCTTAGAAGTCTGGAGCTGTATTAAAGAAAGGTCAAGATAAGATTTTTCACCAGTTCGTATTACAGATGCGAATCTGATCTTAATGAAATTGATAAAGAAAATAAAATTTAGAAATTACTTATTTAGGTTGATAATCAGCTTACCAAGCAACCAACAATACATACAACTCTCTGTGAACTGAGGAGACACTGCTGTAGTTTTGAAAGTGAAATGTTTTCCCATTCTTGCTTTATATAGAATTTCATGTGCTCAACAGTTTGGGTTCTCCTTTGTCATATTCTGTCATATTGTCATATTGACTCTTTACAGAGCCATGCTGTTGTAAAATGTGCAGAATGTGGTTTGGCATTGTCTTGCTGAAATAATCAAGGCCTTCCCTGAAAAAGACATTGTCTGGATGGCAGCATATGTTGCCAAAACCAAAACTCAGCATTAATGATGCCTTCACAGATGTGCAAGTCACCCATGCCATGAGCACTAATGCCCCCCCCAAACCATCACGGATGCTGGCTTTTGAACTGTGCGCTGATAACAAGCTGGGTGATCTTTAGCCTGGAGGACGCGGCGTCTTTTTTGTTTTTCAAAAAGAATTGCAAATTTTGATTCATCAGACCACAGGACACTTTTCCATTTCAACTCAGTGTTTTCTTCTTTGCATGGTAGAGTTTTAACTTGCATTTGTGGATGCAGTGACAAACTGTGTTCACAGACAATGGTTTTCATAAGTGTTTTTGAGCCCATGCAGCGATTTCCACTATAGGATCATGTCTGTTTTTAATGCGGTGCCTCCTGAAGGCCCAGATTATGGCCAGCCAGTGTTGGTTTTCGGCTTTGTCCCTTGCATACAGAGATTTCTCTGGATTCTCTGAATCTATTAATGATATTATGTACCGTAGATGATGAAATCCCCAAGTTTAAATTGAGAAAAGTTATTCTCATATTGTTGCATTATTGGCTCATGCATTCTTCCACAGAGTGGTGAACCTCTCCCCATCTTTACTTTTGAAAGACTCAGCCTCTCTGTGATGCTCTTTTTATACCAGTCATATCACTGACCTGTTGCCACTTAACCACTAGCTGTTTGTTTTTAGCATTACACAACTTTACCAGTCTTTTATTGCCCCGCTCCCAACTTTTTGAAACATGTTGCTGTCATTAAATTCAAAATGGGCATATCTTTTTCAAAAAACAATACAATTTCTTAGTTTCAACGTTTGATATTTAGAATTTGTACTATTGTCAATTAAATGTAATTAAATGCTTCCCAGCTTTTTGGAAATTAAGTTTTGAGTACTGTTAGCATTATGCACAGCTTGTAACCTCTAGCTTTAATTTATTGTTAGCCATGTTAGCATCATTGAGTGAGGTATTCCTTTAAAGAAATAGATAAATCTGAGATGGGCCTGTAGCACATAGACACTGACATGCCTCTTCATCACAATTCCAGAGCGGCTGCAGAAATGTCGCTTCTCTTTAACTGATTGGATGGAGCAAAGTGTCATGAGTGCCACCCTCCCGGCCACCCTGCTGTCCGGCAGAGAGATGCTAACACGGTAGCATGAGCAGTCATTCACTGTTCATGCTGCATTTATGTGGGGAGAGGGGCAGTGCGCTCAGGCAAACTAATCACATCTCTTGATCTCTCAGCAGGACACGCAGGCTGTGTATGTGTTTATGTGTGTGTGTGTGTGTGTGTGTGTGTGTGTGTGTGTGTGTGTGTGTGTTTTAATGGGATGACAGCCTTGCTCATCAGTGTGAGCTGATGTCTTTGAGTCATTGTGAAGAGGTCAGGCAGTGATGTGGATATGTCAGAGAGAGGAGAGCGAGCCTGTCGCTATGGCTTAACACGCATGAGCTCTCCAGCAATACAGCCATTTGAATGGCAGCACATAGTATTTACTTTTAGTTACATCTACCTCCCAGTCAAAAATCTGGGCACACATGATTGAGCATTTTAATAGTCTCATAGACATCTAAAGGCTTATGCAGAAATGCTTCAAATTAGAGATTGCAGTGATAGACTGTTCTCTATGGAAGTAGCCATGGTGAGGCACTACGTAGCTGCACTATATGGATAAGGTACTAATATTGTAATTATATAAAGGATATATTAATTCTATTCATTATTTATTAATTTAGTGTGCTTCAGAAAAGCAAATTTAAAATTGTGTATCGAAAGTTTAAACTCTGTTGTTGCCCCTCGGGCTCTTACAAGGGTCTCCTGTATACTCTCTTTAATGGACAGTTTCTCTACAATGAACCATTTCAGCCACCCTGAATGACCTGTTTACATCTCAACCATTGAATTATGCACACATTTTGAATAATCAATGGACTTCCTCTTTAAGTTAATGATGAATATTAAAGCACTCAGTCTGCTTATTATCTTATCCACAAAGGGCTGGTGTGGATACAGGTTTTCACTCCAAACAAGCTGGAGCACACCTGACTCCACTTTTTTAATCAGTTGGTCTTAGTCTTCAAACATTTCCTCAGATGACCTCCTGCTTTGTTGGAGTGAAAACCTCCAGCCGCACTGGCCCTTTGTGGATAAGATTGAACACCTCCGGCCTAGGGGGTGTGTTGCTAAAACTAGGCTATTTCTGTGTTGTGAAGTGGCCTGATATTGTATTAAAAAATGTAAAATTGTCAGGCAACA